TTTGAAACGTTGCTTTTGATTGTTACATAGATGAACTGCAAAACCTTGCAGAGCAAAAAAAGGATCTTTCATTCCCAACCTCTACAAAGTTTTGGAAAACGGGAGGAAACAGAGTAATTTCTTCCTCTCTCCCTTCATGAAATTCTCAGTAAGGGAAGACAGAGGCAACAGGTGCAAGGATGTAAAAATTCATGCCTGCAAATGTACACTTCCATATTAGCATATCTAGTTTTATATAAGCAATTAATAAAGCATTAATTCTGTCCTTGCAGCTGTATGAAAGATCATAATTATTCAACTACTAATTAAAAATACTCTTGCCCCCTAAACCAGTATTACATATATCACAGAGATCTCCTTTCTGTCTTACCTAAGACTGTGAGTTTTGTCCCACTGCCGAAGTACAATCTTTCATTATTCACGCTGTTTTGCAGCTGCAGGAAAACCTCTCCTCTACTCTCAGTCCTCTGAGCCAAATCTGTAGACTAACCCTCCCCTCATGGGGTACCAGCAAAGGAAGAAATACAAAGTACATACTTTATGGTCCCCTAACAAAAAAAGAAAGGTCTGTAAGGGAACACCGCCACATCTGTCTGTCTAGTCAGGTGAGATCAATCTCAGAAATACCTCTTCCAGAGTCCTTTTGCTTCAGGTTTAGGTTAATCAGGTGAGGTTTTCACAATTTCTTTTGCGGACATGTATCTATTTATCTAGGTGTGCTATTAGGAAATATTTCCTCTATGCAGAAAGTAATTTTCTTTGTTTATTTTCAGCTAAACAACCTCATTTCCCTAATTTCTTAATTTCCTTTCAACATCATGGCTATTCTTCTCTGGTACAATAAACATGTTTCTTTTACTTACAAAATAACTTGCAGTATGTAACACAGGGCCCTGGTCTGTTCTCCTCGTTGTTGAAGTTTCTAAACATCCCTTCCTTTCTCCTTTCTGGGAGGCCAGTCTCTGCTTTCTAATTATCTCTGTTCTGTTAGCTATGATTATTAGAGTTAGTCCAAAGTAGACTGGGTTTCTAGCACATCAGAAAAACACCAGTTTAATAATCAAAGGGATAAAAAAGTAGAAGTGAAGTTCTCTGAGAAGACCTAGGATTTGAAGTGGTTTAAAAGAGAAAATAAAAATTTCTTACCTATTACTGTAAGTTTTGTGCCATCGCCGAAAGACAGAGCATTGGTCACGGTGACAAAGTGTTGTACCATAAGCTAAGAAAAGGAATGCACTGCAGTTGACTTTAGTAAGCTGAAAACTTACAGAATATTTACTATATCTAGAATCCAAAAGATCCCACAATCTCTGTCTAAAAGGCTCTGGCAGAAAAACAGCTTGAAATCTCATTGTATAATTCGTAGCACTTATAATTTCCCAGAGTTTTTTGATACTTATTTTTATTGTCTACATTTCACCTCAAGTTGTTTTACAAATTTTCCATAATCACCAGGTTATGTCATTCATATTACCTGCTATTCTTGCTTTACAGTTGTAGAAACCATGCAGATGTACTGAAGTGAGAGAAGCTGTCATTATCTAGAAAAGTAAATCCTCTACACCTAGACTTTCCTTCTTTTTAGTCTTGTACTCTAAGCATTGTGAAGCCATCCTTTCTGTAACTTGTGGAGTTAATAATAAAATTCTTGCTTTGTGGTTGTCACAGTTGCATGCCTTTTCATGTAGGTGGTTCACCTTTCTGGCATTGAATTGAAACAAATCCATTTGTTTTCCCTTCAATGGCAGGCAAGTCGTCCTGAATAGCCTTTCAGGATTCCATTGAATTTGCTAATAGTTAAGAGTAATCCAAATAAGGAGAGTCTAGAAGAGGCAGTTGGCTGATGTCAGACAGAGTCTTTATATCCATTAGAAAGAATGGCAGGGAGAATGTGGAGAATTACTAGAGAAAGCCTTTGGGCTCACAGGCATGAGTCAGTCAGTGGATGCTGGAGGCTTATTTAAGGGAAAAAACTCCAGTACATTTTACATAGCACCTCTGAGAGATGCCTGCTAAGTGCCAGAATACTTTTTCTAACACTTTTATCTCATCAATAAAGAACAAGTTTGTGGCCTATTGCAAACATTATTGCATCAGAAAAAAATACTAATTCTCTGCTTCAAATACTGTAATAGGTTTAAGGTGCACCTGCAGTCAATCTAGCTTGCTGAAAATTTTTTCAATGTTTCAAAATCTCCTGGCTTGTTTTCCATAGAGGGCAGGCTCAGTTCTCAGGTGATGAAGACTTAGCATACTGGGTCCATCAAGAAAAACCAAGACAGAACATGCTCATTATGCTGCAGAATTCTAGGTAGCTGTCTTAACACACTCTCCCACGAGGCTTAAGCATACAGGGTTTTTGTAAAGGCCTCCCATGGAACGTATCACTGTGGATCCCCTGTCCCCACAATGATACAACTTAGTACAAAAACAAAACCACCTATGGCTCCATCCTCTTATTTTTGTCACCCCATTGCCATGAAAGATTGCTGCAGGAACCACAGGCCACATCCTTCCTTTTCCTGTGCTGTTTCTGTGAGATAGCTTGATTACTTCATAGTGTATCCATTATCCCTGAATTCATATTTATATCCCAACATTTTTTTTCCTATTAACCAAACAAAAAAGAAGTAATATTTTTTTCCTTTATCAGCCAATTTTAAATGCAGTTATTTTTTTACTTGGTAACTTCATTACAGTGTTCATTCTGCTTGCCTGGCCTGATTGTGAATATCCTCTCTGGTCTGTGTGCCACTTGTCACAGTTGTTCTGAAAGGGAGGGAAGTAGGATGCTGAGCTCTTGTTTATCTCTGACTGCTCTGCTACAGGAAGCAGAACTACAAAGTTGCCCCAGGTGCCTGTGACCCTGACTATGGCAATTCTTCCCCTAGGAGTAAGCATGTGCCTTCATTTTGGAGACTGTGAAGAGGGTGGAGGCTGGCCATGATAGGTAACAGGATACTTCTAGTAACTAAATGGAGACACAAGAAGGAAAGATCTGTGCCAGTGAGACTATGTGTGCCAGCACACACTGAGGCTATACGGGGAAAGACAGGCTTGTGAACAAACCAGTTTAGGTTTGGGGCATACAGAGCCTGACCTAGTCTTCTCACATAAAAAACCAAAAACATCATCTGCAACGTGACCAAGTACTTACAGTAAACATGTTCATATTGCTCTTTAATGGTTTCACTTCCTGATTAAAGAAAAGGCTGAAAGTACAGGGCACAATATTTTGAAACAAGGCAATTCTAGGAAAATTTCAAGGATTTTTTTGTTGTTGTTGTTTTGTTTTGTTGGGGGTTTTTTTTCGTAAATCGCAGAAGAACCCATAATTTCTGATACAGCCTGTTCAACTGGGAGCAGCTGTTAGCGACCCAGGAAAGAAAATGAGCAACAGACTAAGCTGAAACATTTAGGACCAAGACATAGGACTTCAGAAGACAAGGTATTACACAGCATTTCTAGGTGTATTTCTGCAACAGCAAAATTTTATGCTTAAGTCACTAATTCTGGGAGTTACTGCAGACATCTCTGTGTGTTTAGATTGAATTATTTTCAAAAATACATTTGGGATTTTTTTTTGTCTGGCTCTGCCCAAACAGTACCACTAATAGTGAGATATTGTTTTTCTTCCTTGAACATAGCCTGCCTCTGATCTCAGCACTGTGTATTGAGGATCTAAAAAACATTCTACTAACATTTCTTTAGTATTATTCTTTCTCTTGCTCCATTAGTGCCCTTACTGTCACTAGCGGAGTCTCTCTCTCATATGATGTCTTTAAGACCAAGAAAATTCCTTGTGTATTCATTTTGAGTGTTTCTATGCGGTGCTGACATCACCCCAGGGCATGTTCATAAGGCAACTTCCAAGACATGCCAGTAGAGACCAGTCTTGTCCCATTTTAATGTTAATCTGTAACTTGTCAAAAAGAAAGGCCTTGTAGGCCATGAATTCAAACCAGTAAGAAGGAGAGAAGAGAGCAAAGATGGTACATTGATCTTCTATGTTTCTCATAGGAGGCTTCATGGACTAAACTGTGTAAAATTTCAGACCAGAGAGAGGTGAGAATATGCAAGCAAGAGATTTTTAGGTACATCTTTTCTAACATTAATATCATTTTAGTGGGGGAATTTCACAGGAAAGTAACAATCGTATACTTATATAGTCAGCCAGAACTATAGAGACACTTTGAGTTTTAGAGATTTTTGGTGGGACACTGGGAAGTTCTTTTCATAAAGATTCAGTACCTTTGACCATTAACATCTAAAATTAAGCAAAAGACACTTCTTAGGGCATCTCTCTGTACTGAAAAGGTAAGATAGTGGAAGGAGAGGATGTGTAAAATTACATCCTGTGGTTGGTTGACCTTGGCTGGATGCCAGGTGCCCACCAATCCCTTCTATTACTCCCCCTCCTCATCAGGACAGACAGGGGAGAAAATAAGATGAGAAAGAACTTGTAGGTCTAAATAAAAGCATTTTAATAAATAAATAATTGTTTAAAAAAACACAGTAGGCCACATGCAGAAGCAAAGGAAAACAAGATTTCTTTTTTTACTTTGCATCAGCAGGTAATGTTCAGCTACTTCCTAGAAAGTAAAGCCTCAGTACATATAGCAGTTGCTCCAGAAGACAATCACCTTAATAACAAATGCTCCCTCTCCTCCTCCTTTTCCTTAGGTTTTTATTAATAAGCCATCATATGGTGTGGAATAACCCCTTGGTAAGACTGGGTCAGATGCTCTGGCTAAGAAAACTGTAAGTCAGAGATTAAATAGGGACCTGTGACTGCAGAACTTCAAGATGGTAATGACCACTATCTGTCTTTTTCTACTATCGCCTGGGAATTGCACAGCTGTGACCAGTCAACAGCCAACTCATTAATCTGCTGAACACTGAAGGCTACTGATAAGTAAATTTTCACAGGGCCTTAAAATTGCATTTTCCACTCTAAAAATCTTCAAGAGTTCAGAATTACTCTGTTAAGAGAGAGCAAAGATGGTACATTGATCTTCTATGTTTCTCATAGGAGGCTTCATGGACTAAACTGTGTAAAATTTCAGACCAGAGAGAGGTGAGAATATGCAAGCAAGAGATTTTTAGGTACATCTTTTCTAACATTAATATCATTTTAGTGGGGGAATTTCACAGGAAAGTAACAATCGTATACTTATATAGTCAGCCAGAACTATAGAGACACTTTGAGTTTTAGAGATTTTTGGTGGGACACTGGGAAGTTCTTTTCATAAAGATTCAGTACCTTTGACCATTAACATCTAAAATTAAGCAAAAGACACTTCTTAGGGCATCTCTCTGTACTGAAAAGGTAAGATAGTGGAAGGAGAGGATGTGTAAAATTACATCCTGTGGTTGGTTGACCTTGGCTGGATGCCAGGTGCCCACCA